TGTTTTCCCCCCCCCCCCAAGCTCAAACTTCAAGCTATGCCTATGGTAAATCTGCAAATACTGTCTTAAATATAGTCTGATGTTGTAATTTGTAATTTGTGGCCCTTCGCATTTTATGTAGTTTAAATGCTGCCCGCTTGGCCTCTGAACTTCCCTGTGCTAACATTGTGACTAGTCAGCAGACTGAATTGGGAAGTGTTGCAAGCCATTGAAATACTTTTTGTGTATTACATTAAGTTAAACCATCAATTTACAAAAACAAACATACCACTAAAATTAGAGTGAAATTAAAAATCCCTAGTAATATTTTGTTTATCCTCGTTTTCATATTTTGATAACAATATTTATATTTTAAATATTTACATTCCTTTTATTTATTTTGATCTGGCAGTGGCACTGTAAATATTTAGCCTACTGTAATGCATTTCTTGAGAGAGGAAGTCACTGATTATATGGAAATAAATTCATTGACGGTAATATTTACCTTATGTGTGTTATTAATAGCATTTACTTAATCACAATATTGTGAACCCAAATTAGCTCATAGCTAAATTTAACCATTCATATCTAGCCATGTTTAGAACACAGAAATGGCCGTGTTAGCAAACACAATCGTTTGCACACATACGACTTGCACAATTTCAGCCTTTGAGCGGCGAGCGAACACGCGCCGTGGACTGTCCACGCGCTCCAGTGCGAGCTGTTAGGCAGAATCGCTCGCGCTCCACTTTATGAATGGATGGGAGTGGCGCTGTAGTGTCAGTGTCCGTGTCGTCACGCTGTTAATAGGCGCGGGCGTTCGTCAGTGGACTTGACAGGACAGCAAGTGGACAGCATATGACAGCAGCCAGAGCGAGACAGAGTCGGGCAGTAGGGGCAAAAGGCGACTGGACGCGATTCGGTGAGCACGCCACTGTGACAGACAGACAGGGGCAGTTCACATGTTACAGGGTGGGAGGATGGGTTTGGGGAGACAAAGTAATCGCAGGCATGTAGTTTTTGACCGCCCGTAGACAACTTGGACACGTTTGCGCGGACTGAATAGGCTAATAAAAAGTTACATTCCCTGTTATCACGCTGAGGGACTCGCATGATTCACAGCGACTTTTTGATTCGCTTGATTCATTTGACCCCCAGACCAGCTGAGAGACCTGCTTTGTTTAGACATATTTGGGGTTTGTGGTTACGTCGCTCTCTGGATGTCCCGAACTGCATTCCTTCAGAGTTGTGGCAAAGTAGAGAGATAATCGTGCCCGTCGCTTTTCAAAGGCGTGACAAACTCAAAAGGGCGAGACAGAAAACTCGCATCAGCACCACGCCAGCACACTTCGTCTTGTCTGTTTGGAAGAGACTCCGAACCGAAGCTCGTCGATCTCAGAACTGTTGGTCTGTATCTAGGCTACTGTCCTTCCCACGAATTTTGGGCTGTCCCAGCTCGATGACTAACTCCTTTTTCTTTTATGTTTATGGAAGGACACAAAACTGTATGCTTTTGTAAGTAGAAGGCAGTGAGCACTTTACTGACGCGCGTAACCCGAACGATTCACAAGGCGAAATCACAAGGTAGGTATTTTTAACAAAAACTTCAACTTTGATATAATATTTAATGTTTTGTTGTCTGTACTGAGTGTGATTTGCAGAGTTTTTCTCAGTTTTTAAAACGCAATCCCTTGTTTTCGAGAAGTCAATATGAAGTTGACAATACTAAATCTCCCTTTAGTTCGCTGTGAAACATTGCTATTAAAATAGTACTAAAATTCAGTTTAATTGTTGCCTTTAAATTTAAGTGAAATCAAAGTGGTACCAAAGTGACACCCTGTGACTGCAGTGATAACCTACTGTTTATTGCACTTTTTCAACCCCTCTCAGTGGTTCTTCGCTGAAAAAAAAAGGAAATTCCAAAACCACAAAAGAAATTGAACAGAAATTAAGTTAATGAATAGAATTAAAATCTTCCAAACATAATGATGAAGGTTTATGCCTACGTAGATAACATTCACTAGGCGCATTCTTGTCAAAAGTATCGCAGGCGCACATGATGCCCACGAAAGTAGGCAGCTCAGTCGGTTTTGAGATGCAGCCAGTGTTTGTTTTGTAAACACACACACAACAAATCTGTGCGTGTCACTGGTGTAAATTATATGGGTTCAGGATTCCACTACACCCAGGATGTTTAACCAGGGATCCCTAAGATACTCAAGGGGTTCAGTGGGTCATGACATTATGACAGCCCACCTATTTCTAATTTTTTTCTTTCTACCCATCAGTTAAACGTTATACTGTAGTTAAAGATTTTAATCAAATTTTTTTGCAAAATAACATCTAGTTTTGTTAATCCTGAGTCCATGGGTTAGATAAGAGTCTTGCTGAAAGTTCCTGCCACCGCTAAGATTGAAAACTCCTGTGCTTCAGCAACACGTATTGCACGTTTACAGTTACAGTAATCTCAGTCCTTCACTTCATAATTGATGTGCATAGCACTTTGTAATGAATTCTTATTGGCTCCACATCTCTCCACATAAATTTTGAAGAATTCGCTCAGCTGAGTAAACACTGACTGTCTGGTCATAATCCACACCGCACCCTCACTGCTCTATTGTATTAACAATGAATCAGAGTAGCAAGAATAAATGCACGATAATTGCTAATGTACATAGTTATTGTGAGAAACACCCACCAATGATATTTGCAGTTCAATAATAATACCAGTTACGAAAGAAAATTCTGTGTTATTTCTCTTTGATTTGTGGATTAATCAGTGACTTTTTATGCTATGATGCATATCTACGAGTTAATGGAACTTGCTGTGTCAAATGTTTAAACTCAGATTTGTATCTATGGGTTTAAGGCTGATTGTGTTATTTGGACAATGCAAACCTGACAAACAATGAGAACCGTAAATACATTATTACTGGCAGTTAAAGACAGTTAAGGAACACAATTGCATGTTTTTACATCCATTTGTTATCTGTCATGGAACTAAAACCGCTGTTTTTTTGGGCGAGGCAGACTGTGGAATATGTTACCGCCCTGTCTTTCTTTTCTCTATTTCTCTATGGTTCTTTCTCTCTCCTCCATCTCCAAGAGATTATTGTTGGTGACTTGAGCTTTCCAGCATGCTTGCACTCCAAACATTCCAGACCTCTCGAGCACCAAGGAGCTGGCCAGCTCCACACAGCTGGGAGCTATATAAGACCCGGGGCAGTGTATTGAGCAACATCTTTAACTTGGTCTTGGGCTCCCTATGGCCTGATACAAGATGGGGGAGGGGGCGTTCCGCATTCCACTTTCTCTACCAGGGCAAAGCGCCATCCAGATTCCAGTAGGAATACATAGAGAGGTCGAAATTCCAGTGTGCTGATAGAGGGACGTGTCACAACACATGACAGGATGAGTGAAGCATGCACACGGAACACATGGGAAGAATTCTGTATGCTAAATGCACGCATGACATCACATGTAGACAAGTGCTGTTCATTCTTGGCGCCTGTCAGCAGCTGACCTCTGCATACACGCATATACAAACATGGGGAAAAACAAACATGCATCTTTTCCTCAAAGCACATGATGTCGGTCTGTGCTGGAGCAATGCAGTTTAGAGAGACGGTCATTGTACAGTGTTCAGTCTCCCTCTGTGTTTTTGGCTGCTCTCGCAGTTGTTTTTGAAAGCGGAGAGTCTGTGTGCAAAGAAAGTTGAGGCCAGGACAGCAGGCCGATAGCGAGAGAAAAGAGTGGGAGAGGGAACGGGAGGAGAAAGAAGAGAGTAGATCCTTGGGAAGACTCACAAGGGGTTTTGGGGAAAAGGATCTGGGATGAAGAAGGCGCTGCTGCATACAAAAAGACAAAGAGAGAGTTTGAAAAGCAGAGTGAGAATGAGTTACAGCAAAATAGCTTCTTGTATGTCATATAACAGTGATTATGAGACAGTATGGAAGGTAGAAAAAGGATGAATTTGAGAAAAACAAGCTGTAAACTAGTTCTATTGTGACAACTCTGAAGATTTTAGCATGGTAATGGATATGACAATGTTACTGTATTTGTTCTTGGTGGACTAGATCTGATATGCTGCTGCTGCTGTTGGTTTATATTGGCTACACATTGCTGTAGTTGTAGATTATTGCTGCTGCTGCTGCAAGCAAGTACAGGAACTTAATACTGCCAATGCATATGGCGATACAGTGATGTGAGCATTTAAGACATACTGCTGCTGCACAAATAGCATATAAAATAACCCCTAGCAGATCTATACAGGTGGAGCTGGGGAAGGTGGAGGGTTTCAGAGGAACTCTGAAAGAATGCTGTGGAATGCTCTAGTGAATGCTAACCAGCCATTTAAATGTAAAGCAGTAAGCTGATTGGCTGTGTAGGCAACATGAACCAATCAGCTTGTGCCAAGTATTTAACGCTGTGAATTTCATCAATTTGCATTAATGACCCATCATCCTGAGCCATCTAGAGTTTCATGACAGAACTTGACATTAATGCAAGTATTGTAAGTGTTAATGTAATTAAAGTTAAATGTAAGTGAACTTTTTGAATAGTCTCACATAGCAAGACTTTAAAATTCTGGTCCTTATTGTACCTTATTTTGGAGAAGAACTACCCACTTAGTTAGAAAGAGACCATCTGACATGTACAGTGACCAGCCACAGTTTTTGTTTCTATGTGTGGGGTTGTCTATTTATGTATTTGGCAGATACTTTTATACAAAGCAACCTACATTGCATTCATATATATTTCATTAATTCATGCATCCCCTGGAATCAAACCCATGCACCATGCTCTACTGTTTGATCGACAAGAGCACTGAAATACATTGTCAAAATAATGAATTTAAATAGTGGTGCAGCAGATTGTACAGAAAATACTCTGAAAATAGCAGAAGAAGTGTTTAGAATTTAAATAAAAATATTTTTTTCTTCAATCCAGTACTGATTATTTCACAGACAAATATCAGAAAACAAGTATAATATCCAATTCTGCTCATGCATCAGGTTTACTTATTATTAAGTGCCTCAAGCAAAACTTAAATGATAAAAATCAGGGAGAGCGCCAGCCATTTGGAACAGGTGATTTTAGGCAGTGCTTGCAATTTTTGTGAGTTATATGCATCAGACTCTCAGTGAATAGACTGTGTGCAGCATGCAGCCTGAAGCTGAGATTAGTTATTGAGAAACTTTGCTAAAAGTCATATACCCCTTCTCACCCCTTTTCTATCTTTTTTTTTTTACTTATGGTTTCACTCTTTGTCACACTTGTCCCTGTCTGAGCAAATAGAGTGATACAGAAGCCTACATGGATGTATTGCTAATAAGAGATTCACACTTGCCAGTTAAAAAATGAAGTCAATAAATTAATAATTCAATTAATAATTTATAATAGTAAAAGTTTATTTGTAATTTAAAAATGATTACAAAATGATAAAATTGTACCTCATTGCTTTGGTTGTAAAAGCTTTAGTGGTATGAACATGTTTCATGCACACAGACACAGGCAGTACATGAGTGACAGTGCTGAGAGACGTGACGACAGGCAAGTGTTATGCTGAAATTGTCCAGTGATAAAGTACACTGCCCCCCGCCCTTTCCTCACCCTGTCACCTCCCTGTCCTAGTCCAGGTTCCCTCTCCTACTCTCCGTCATTCTGTTCATGTGTGTTTGCTTCAAGATCAATGGAGACTGCAGATAGGGTTGCACATTGCACAACTATTGACACACTTTTGGGGAGCATGAACTCAGTCACCTAAGACTGCTTGCCACCACAGGAGTCATTGACTTCTGAAGTTAGATGAAGTTTTTCATCTGACGGTATTGTTTTGATGTTTTTCCCCCATACAATGACGGACAATTTAAAAGAATAACTTTTGGTAATTGTCTCATTATTAATGCTACATTCTAAGGTCTGTTGTCTGTGTGGTAGGTTTTTTTTTCCAAGTAAAATTTTGTTGTATGCAAATTTTATATATTTTCTCAGGTTGCGGTTAATGTACTGCAGGTTTGTTTGCTCTGATAAAACAGTTGACAGATGTTAATTATATGTGTCATGCTTTTTCCATATCACTGTGGACGTTTGAGAGAAGAGTAGTTTAAAACTACCAATTAAAGTAAAACTAACATACAGTATATCTGCAGTGGCAGATCCTGGCATATGGAGTATCTGGTTGATTAGTGCATAATATATTATCTCCGAAAAATACATTGTAGCAGTGTTTTGTTCCTGAATGAATCAGTGCTTTTGAACAAATTGGTTGAGTGAATCACTGAATAAATTGTGCACTCGTTTAGTTCTTCATGAAGTGGTTACTTTAAAAAAAAATCAGAAGTACATAGGCTACGTGTTTTGCTCTTCCACAACAGTACTTCCATGTGCTTGTTGTAATCACTATGGCAGTGTTTTATTTCCAGAAATGTATTGAATTTAAAAACCCTGTCAGCATAATCAATATAATCCTTTTAGTGCAGCCTGTGGTCTATATGTGGTTTAGGACCTTTGGGCTCTGATTTACAGAGATGTAAAGAGGGTAGTAATTTGCTTGTTCAGTGTGTGCAGTTTCTGGGTGTAAT